TTTTGGGTCACAAAGGGCTTGGGGTTGCAGTTTACAGGTCTTATATTTCTAGGTCGTCGTCATTGGGTGATTGTCGAAGATGAGAGGCTGCAGAGGCTTCACCCTCTGCAGTGGTATGCCTAAGCGGCTCTCTGATCGTTCGCGGGCCGCTTCGCGACTAGGTCGCGCTCGTGGCCAAGACTTTAGGGTTTAGGGTTTAGGGTTTAGGGTAATCATAAGAGCTGACCCTCCCTGTGCTCAGAGCTTCAGGCGACTGTGCAAGTCCTGATTCAAACAAAGGTTGAGGGTAACCTAGGGGTCTGAATAATTATCCTGAGAGATACCTCCAAGCCCCTTAGTATGCAAATAATTCCCACTATATCAGAACCCGTATGGTAGCCCTTGTAGCAAAAGTAATCCTTACAACCTTTTTTGTAATACCCCTTCTGGCAACTCTTTGTATAGTTAAAACATAGTAGCTCCCTACCGGCCCTACCGTGCCTGCTGACTCACCTCGGAGCCCAGCATTAAACCAAAGAAGATGACAAGACACGTTCGGTTTAGCGTTACGTTGCCACTGGCATCCGGCCTTGAAAGCTAATCTCCATCTTTACCCTAGTGCAGGAGCAGCAGCAGGAGGACGTGTAGCACTGTGCAGCCCTTGATCAAAAACTCTAAACCCTGACCTCATTTCTCTCTAACGATCTTCAAGCTACGAGCGCAACCACTGACTACAGCCCATGACGGATTCAGTGGCAGTCATAAGGCCCTGAAGATCCGTAAAGTCCGAAACGCAAAGCCTTGAATCCAACGCCTTGTGCATTTCCATGCCTCATGGGTTGCACAGCAGCCTGAAGATTAAACTTTAAACCTTAAGCCCTAAACGAACCGAAATGCCTCAGCTGGCTTGTCCGAGATGTCCACGCGACACTTTAATGTCCAAAATCCTGACTCGTCGTCCCGACTCGTCAGCCTTTGGCAAAAAAAAGGCCCCACAAGCACAACCTAAAGCAAAAGGCCCTTTCAGAATACCCCATCTTAGAATATTAGAATCTTAAAAACCCTGCCACCCTAAACTCCTCTAGGCAAGAGCTCCAAGAGCTCCAGCGGCTCCTCTTGCCTGGCACCGGGCAGACGGGGGAGTCCTGCGAGGATTCTGCCCCTGCATCGAACCAGAGCCGCCCCGAGCCTCGGCATCTGCTGCGTCGGCTATCGCTCAAAGGCTTTTGGCTAGAATCCCCAAAACTATCATTTCACCTTTTTTGTTAGGATGGTTGGTAGTTGTATGAATACGACTTTTTCTTCTATTCTTACGGCGATTGGTGTTGAGGAACCCTCCCCTTTTTCTTGGTGCAAATATCGTCATGGTTGTAACTATCATCGCTGTCAGCATCATGATTCTCCGCCTTCTTTAAGCCACGATTATCAGCACCAAAATCACCCTGACCATTGTTACCATGATCAATGCCATTTTAAGAACGAGTACTATTTCATTGCTTCGATTTTTGTGATTGCCATTGGCTGAAAGATGCTGAAAGTATAGCCATCACGAGCCCGTGAAGCCTGTTGTATTGCTTGGTAAAGTGCTCATCATGTTGACTGCTGCAGTACTGTAAAGAGTCTTATCAGTTGGCCCAAGCGTCGGTCACGCTAGTGCTGTTGATGCTATCACTTATTTCCATCACCCTTGTGCAAGACGCTAAACCCTAAATCCTAAACCGTTTAGAGCGTTTCGTTCCATGATCGGACTTTAAGCATCTTGGGCTTCGGGCCATTGCTCGGGAGTTCCGGCGAGAAAGGTGGGGTTGAAGAGGCGGCTTGGAGGGCTTCGTGAGGGCCAGCAATACAGCACCAACCCTCACAAGTAGAGCTTCTGTCTTAGGTCTGGTTCTTAGAAGGGAATGAGGGAATGGGTTATTGGGACTACTATAGGGGACCTTAAGGGACTATCATAGGGATCCATTCCCCCATTCCCTACAAAGAACCGGACAGTTCTCTCTTCCTACGATTGCTGGCCTCCCCGCCCAACCTCGAAGTTGTGAAGGTCGAAACCCTGACCACCCTGGCGTTGCTTTGGAAACGCTTGGCGACATTTGTCCATGTCATATGGCGTTGGCCCTATAGAGCCCTAAACCCTAAACCCTGTAAATTCTATTAAAAAAACCCCAAAAATTCTATAAGACCCTAAACCCTAAGCCTCTTGTTGCGGCCTCATCTAGGTTTCGAGCATTGGAACCTTCTGGAAGCCTTGCCTGGTGCGCCTGTGTGAAGGAAAGGGTACGCTAAACCCAAACCCCAAGCCCCAAAGCCCTAAACCCAAAACCCTACACCCTTGACTCTAAACCCTAAACCCCTAAACCCCTAAACCCTAAACCCTAAACCCCTCCTAAACCCTAAACCACTAAACCCTAAACCCCAAAGCCCTTAACGCTTGAACTGAGGAGTTCCTACAGCCCGGGCTCGAGTTGCCCGGCGCAAGTTATTTTTTTTGTAGCTGCTGTCGCCGTCGTCGACAATGATGCTGCTGATGTGTCGCCTCACCCAAGCTGTCAAGATGTTTAGCGATAGCTGACCTCTCATATGCGGTTTGACTACAATTCCAAACTGTTTGGAGTTGGATTGGATGAAGCTTTGCCTGCCTGACTTGTACGAAAGCCTCCGCACCCCGGGGTCAAGCGCATGTTGTTTGAGATCTGAAGAAGCTGGTGCTGTTAATGGTGGGAGAGGCGATGGGGGAGGAAGTGATAGCGATGAGGATCAGGATGGTGAGAACCCATTAGGGCATCCGATGGTGATGAGAATAATTGCTGAGATGATGATGAGGATGGCAGAGACCGAAAGTATTCTGAAGGCTGTTTTGATGCTGTTGAGGATGCGGGTCATGATCTTGATGATGGTCATCATCTCCTCGCCAAGGGTGCAAGTTTGAAGGAGATGGTACTCTAGTGGGTATGGCCATGACGTCGATGGGTTTGCACTCTCCGGGGTGGTCCTTTTGTCGCACGGGAGGCCTGCCGTTGCAAACTGGCAGCTGGGGCCAGTGAAGGAGCCGGGCAAACGATGATGTGTGCCCGGAACGTCTGCCTGCACAAGTGCTTGTATTGGGATCCATCCGACTTGAGGGTTAAAGAGGCGTTTGTTTCGTGTAAGATTTCTAGAGCTGCTTGAGAATGGTGTAGAATTGCCCTCGCAGCAAGCCTTATAGCCTTATCGAAAGCTTCTACAGCTCGAGAAAGCCCCGACAGCCTCATGGCAACGTTCTAAAGCTGTGTAAAAGGTGCCGTCCTGCGAGCATATGTTTCTGGCAGCCATGGAGTTTGCCCCGGATCCCTGTCGCGAAAAGAACCCGTACAGCAAGGTTTTGCAGTATTCGTGACCCCTATCACAAACCTTACGTATAGTAACGGTGACAGCAATGCTTCGAGTACCCTTCGTTTCGAAGCCCTGCGAGGAGCATGTGTCCTCGGCAGGTGGGCAGGAGACGGGTCCCCAGGGTGCGGTGCAAAAAGAAGAGGGTTCGGGTTAACACTGTAGGCCTTATTACAAGGCCTGCTATAAGAGTTGCTATCCGGATGAGAGGGTTTACGGCAAGTCACTATGACACGACTAGCCATGATTGTTCGAGTTCAGTGCCTAATGGGCCGACGACTTGCTTCCGGGCGCCTGGACGCCGGTACAGTTGGGCACGTTTTTTTCAACAAGCCTCCGGAAATCTCGGGCTCTGCACCGTCCACCAATTCGGTCAGGGGCATGCAAATGGGAGCATTTCAAGTTAGTGTTTGCGAGAGTCTTTGTAGCCTTATGGGACCTTTGAAAGCAGTCTTTGTCTGTGATCTCCGTCAGTAAACACCCGAACCTTTCAGCAGAGGTCCACATATTGAGAGCAGCTACCTCATATGATCTGCATGCCTTTCTAGCAATATATCTCTTCAGGCCTTGAGAAGCTAACCCCACAGATAAGCCTTAACACCAAACCCAAAACCCCTACACCAGGCGAGGTATGTGGTTCGTGGTCTGCTTGGGTGAAGACCCTAGGGCCCTAGGAGCCTTCAACAGAACTCCTCGAAACCAGGAGTCGCCCCAGAGCCCCGCGAGCCCTTCATCCTCCTCGCGATCCCTCAAAGAGCGCCGGGGGCTCCGGCTCTCAGTGGACACCACCAGCGCCGCTCGCCCTCAAGAAGCCTCGGAGCCTACTGTTCAGGGATTGCACTAGCCACGGCACCTGCAGCACCTGCACCACCAGCAGCGCCAGCAGCACCACTAGCACCAGCAGCACCAGTAGCACCAGTAGCACTAGCGGCGCCGGCGGCACCAGCGTCATTTCAGCGTCAGCAGCACTAGCAACATACCTTTGGCACCATCTTCACGCTCCGAGTTCGCCGCCTTCTCGTTGCTTTTCCGTATCGTAATTAGTGGTGACTGGTAACGGTCTTGTCCCTGTCATCACGGTCATCATCGTCATCGCTACCATCGTCACGATCATTATTCCTGTCCTGTCATCTGTCATCCGTATCATTCTCGTTATCCGCATCATCCGCATCATCACCACCATCATCATCATCGTTTTCGTCATCGTCATCGCCCTCCTCATCGTCATCGTCATCGTCATCATCATCATCATCACCGCCACCTTTGCTACCTCCACTGAGACCAGATTCTTCCTTGTTTCTCCAGCTTATCATGTATTGATGTCGTCGAAGCCGGCTTTTGCTCGTGTACATTGAGTTGCGAAGCTGGTGGCCCAAACAATCAACGCACGAGTCTTCTTTGCGCCTTGTGCCACGCGCGAGGAGACCGCACGCCCTGCTGCAACCCAGCAGCTTCACGGATCACAGTTGGACCCCAGAATACTTCAGAAGTGGCCGATGCGCCAGGGGAAGAAGCGGTCGCCCGTGCCGCCAACATCGACAAAGCAGGACGAGGCACCCGTGGAGCCCCAGCAGGTGGCCTTGGGAATCTGCTTTCTTGAGATCAGGGCATGGCTGCAAGGGGTAAGGTCTGCGTATGGTGCAGGCTTAGTCAGTCCATCGGAATTGCATGTAGCCTACCCCGATGAGTCATTGAAACCGTGCTCCTGTGTTTTGAAGTAGAAACCCCAAACCTCGAAGCCGAATGCTCGGGATGCTTGCGTTTTCGTCTGTGCTGCGATGCCGTTTTGATCGTCCAGTTCCACCCAAACCCTTACGAACCGAGAGACCTTATCTGAGACCCCTGGCCTCTGGCCGTAAATTCTGTTCGGGGCTGTCGTGAGGCGGGTGGAGCGATTTCTTTTTTGTGGAGGGGGCGGCGGGGTTCCGAGGTTCCCCAATACAGGCACCCCGAAGAGTGAGTGACCATACACCACTGCCACATCCCTAAGACTCCTAGACCACAAACGGTGCTTGCGCTTACCGGCACTGTGACTCAAATCCCTGCCGCGACCCGCAGGTGGCAGAGACGGCGCCGGCTAGCAGCCAGACAGAGGTGCCCGTCTGTCTCTATCTCTATTTCGCTCTCTCTCTCTCTCTC